TTGGGGATCCTGGCCTCCTCCCTCTCACTCCATTCGCCCAAATGGAATGGAATCCAGGCGTGTCCTGTCGCACTGCTGCAATTAAATGTAGCTTCCTGACGATGCATTGTGTTTCTAAGGTGTATTTTGCAAGAAAAATAAAAGAGGTTAAATACGGTTTTCAGAAAAATGTGATGTCTGTGTAACCTTGAAGTGAGATGTGGATGCTTTGCTGTCTGAAAGACCTGCAGAAACACTCTATGCTGTGTTTGCTTACTTATTTTTAATCAGCAGAGCAGTGGCAGAGGTGTTCCAGGTGCAGGTTTCAGAGGAGGCTGCTGCTTCCCGTGTCGCTATTCAGGGAGGCACTTCTGCTCCTGCTGCAGGTAACAGCCAAGCTGCTGCCACCCTGTCCTTTGTGCAGTGGGGCAGGATCTGTCCCTGGACACTGATCGTTAGTCAAATGTTGCCAGCTGGAAGGAGTCTCCCTGATTTCCGTGAAATCAGTAGGGCTCTGGAGAACTCCTCGGTGTAGTGACACATGGTCCCTTTGGGACAGAGCTCATGGGCACAAAACTTCATGTCAAAACTCCTCCGAGTTTGGGAACAAACGTTGTCACTGGGGGAAGGAGCCAGAGTGGAATCCAGCAATCTCCAAACTTCTCCTTGCCTGCAGCGTATTGTCATACCTAATTATGAAATGCAGAATATGTATGAAATGTCTCACCTCTCTGAACATTAAAGCCTTTGCAGAGCCTTGCTAACGTTTGCCGGTAGTCACCCAGGCTTTCAAGGTTCTCCCTGCGTTAGCTTGGCCTCGCGCAGAGCTTTTTTCAGTACGTCGTGAGCTAATGGCTTTCACTTTGTGCTTTTCCCTGTTCTTCCTTCTCATCAGAGAATTTCCACCGCTGAGAAAAGGAGGCAGCGTGATGCCCCGTGTGCCGAGCTGGGCACTCACTCACCACTGCCCAGCACGTGAAGTGAAAGCTGAACTCGAGTGGGGTCGGTGGCAGAGCTGAGTTAGCAGCACGTGGAGCCTGGGGGGGAGAGCGGGTGCCCTGAAGGCCTGTGGATGACCTACAGAGCCCCCCAGGACCTCCAGGTGGGCACCCACCTCCCCGTACCTCCTCCAGTCCCCTAAAGGCTCTGGGTCTTCCTCCAGGGAAGGCACAAAGAGCAGCCCGCCTGCAGCCCAGCTTGGGCACATTATTTAACACCAGAAAGGGCTCAGATCCCGTAGAATCATGAGGTGGTGGAAGGGGGAAAAGTGGAGTGTAAAAAAAAAAAATTAAGAAAGAAGTGGAGGTGAAGACAAAATCCACTTTGTGAGTACAGAATTAGGGGCACCGAGTAATGGGTTGTAGTGAGTCATGCCAAGGGCTGTAGGAGGGAAGCAATCAGTCCAAAAGTATTTAATTTCTCGAGTGAATGCAGCTCTTGAGAACCAAAATGATTTTTTTTTCCTCCCAAGCAATTACCAAGCAGAATGCTGATTTTCCTGCAGTACTTTTTTGACTGATTAAGAAAGAAAGAAGTTTAAAGGGATCCAGTATAAAATTAACCATGATTTTGCAGAGAGAGTGAAGTTAATAAAATTTATTAGATTAAGATTTAAAAACAAAAAGCAAAGCCCACCTGATTTGATGATTACTGTTTGGAAGAGCAATCAGGTTTAAGGCAAAATGTCAACTTTAAAAAAAAAAAAATGAACCCCCTGAGGATGAAAATGACTCAGAGAGAGCGATGCAAGGAGGGTAAGTTTGGAAGAACGATTTTGTGCATGAGGGGAAAAAAATTGACCTTCTCTTGGCTGACTGTCACGTAGGAATTAATAGGGACTAGTGGTAAATTCTCAATAACAGGAATAAAGGGCCAGCGGCGCATCAGCGAGGCGTCGGGAAATCTCGTTGCTGTCTGTATTAATTGGGCATGGAAAGTTACGGGCCTTATGGTGGACAATGTGATTATTAAAAAAATAATAATAATAAAAAAACAACTTTCAGAGCTATCTTTCAGCAGACAGATCATTGAGTGATTAGGGAGAGGAGGAGATCGTTAAGCAGGAAAATGAAAGTGTTAAAGGAAGTGCTCACACACCTGAAGCTAACAGTTTGCTTTAATAAACTTCGAAGTGCAAAAGGTATTTAAGTTGTAGCTGGCTCAGCAGGAGGCAAATTCTGCCCTTATTGACACCTCTAGCGGGGCTGGGAGCTGGCTTCATCCTTGCTCCTCACCTGGCTCAGGAAGCACTTAATAGGTTTGGAGTTAATTGGGTCTTAATTAGAAGCACCCCTGTAACGAGGCAGGGCACCCAGGTATTTATTTTAGCCTGGCATGGAGCAGGTGGATGTGGTGCTGAGCTGCTCCTGAGTTTGTCCCCACAAGGTAGGTGGTGAGCACCGTGGGGGTCCTGGCTGGGTGGGAGCAGCTCAGAGGGGCAGGGAGCTGGGGGATGCTGTAGCCTTGTTTTACTGTGCTGATGTTGCCTTTGGCCAGGTTTGGCTTTTTATTTTGGTTGGGGTGAGTGGTGGGGGTGTCGTTGCCCTGCAGCTTGAAGGCAGCTCTGCGAGGAGCTCCTGTACAAAGTTCCCATGCAGGCTCAGGTTCGCCTTCCTTGCTGCTCTTCGTTCTCAAAGCTGGGAGTCGTGGCTCTCCCGTACTTTCTCTTGCTCTTTGCTCTGCTCTCTCCTGGCTCTGTCTCCTTCCCTGTATGAGGAGCCCGCATCCTTTGGGTGGCCGGGAAGGGCTGAAAGGCCGCACTGAGCCTCTGCACATCCCTCCCTGCCTGCAGCTGGAACTTCTGAGTTCGTGCTTTCAGGGCTTTAGGGGAGGAAAAAGCAAGGAGGTGACCTCTGTACCAAGGTCGCAGATGGGCACCCACTTTCAGAGCATCGTGGTCACACACCCGACACCTTAACCCCAGAGCCCTCGGTGCTGAGCTGCACTGAGAACCGATCAGGAGAGAAACCGACCCTATTCTTGTGGGTTTATTTTCCCCATAAGCCTGGGGAGAGAGGACAGGAGAAGCTCTGAGCTCTCCGATTTGGCCTAACTTTGTGTGGTGTTGAGACAGAAAGGTAAAAGAGCTTCAAAACCCTTCTGCTGGTTTTCTTCTCCCCTCTGCTCCTAGCCCCTTGCAGCAGGCCTTGGGGGGGGGTTCCTCGGGCCCTGCCCCGCTGCCCCCTGTATTTTTGGGGACAAACCAGCCCCGTATGGCCACGCTGCCTCGGCCCCGCTCATAGAGCGGAGTGCCAGCTTCTGCCAGATGTGGAATGGCAAATTTAAATATTGCAATTACCGACGTGTAACGAAGCCTTGTACTTCATTAATGTAAGAGGAGGAATCTGCTACGGCTACAAGGACAATTAAATATTAGAGAATGTCTTTGATTCCCGTTCCCGCTGTGTAAATGGGAGGAAGGTTGCTGTCTGCTCCTTGCCTGGGCGCTCGCGAAATGAAAAGCACACCCACTGCAAGTTGTCCTTTGATAGATTTTTAATATGATTTTAAAGAGTTTTGTTTGGCCTCATTCTTATTCAATGAGATTAAATTAAAGCACTTATCCCCTGGGTTTAAGTCAATCCATGTAGGATTTGGGACGGGGTTTGTTGCCCGGGGAGGGGGGTTGTTTGCAGGCCTCTCTGAAAGACTCCTTTCCCACTTCATTAACCCGAGCTGGGAGCGACCCCCCCCCCCCCCCCCCTTCCTCCTCCTCCTCCTCCTCGCCCCGACCGAGGATTTACCCAATTCCCCATTCACATGCAAAGGACCCCGCGGCGGCCCCACAAAGGCCGGGGGCTCTCCTCGAAGCGGGCACCCCCCCCAGGCCTCACCATCGGGGCAGGGCTGGGGGCATCGGGCTGGGCTTCGGTCCGCAGCCTCCCTTTTTATTTATTTCATTTTTATTTTTATGGGGGGTGTCCAAAGGGCCGGGGAGAGGCGGAGGCGGCCCGAAGGAAGGGGAGAGCTGAGGAGGGGGGGAGGCCCTTGGGCGGCACGGGGGTGCCGGGGGAAGGGGAGGAGGCCTTTGGGCAGCCGGGGGGAGGCTTGAGGGAGGCCGGGGGGACCGGGGGGGGGCCGGGGGCCTCAGCCCGCAGCCCATCTGTCGGCTCCCCGAGCCGGAGAGCCGCTGCCCGGCTGTCCCGGGGAGCAGCTGCCGGGCTTCGGCCGAGCCCCAGCGCCACTTTTCAAGGCCGGGGGGGGGAAACAATCCATTTTGCCAAGCGCTCATTTAAAGCACTTAGGCAATTATACACTTAAGATTAGCGTTAATAATTCACCAGCCCGGCGGCTGGCCTCACCCCCCCCAACCCCCCCCCGCCCGCCCCGCGGATGCCGGCGGTGGGGCCGGGCCCTGAGTGTGGGGGGGGAACCGAGCCCCAGCCCTGGGGTCTCCCCATAGGGACCCCCCCTTCGCCTCCTCCCCCTGCCCTCGGAGGGGAAGAAAGGGCCGGCGGAGGCGTTCAGTTTGTAAAGAAGTTTATTTCCACATTTAAAAAAGGGGGAGAGCGGGGAGCCCGAGAGCCGCCCCCCCCTTACACCCCACCACCGGACCCCCCCCTCCCTACCCCGGCCGGGCCGGCCCCGGGATACAGACTGACAAGCATCACTTACACAAATACGCCCTCAGGGTTCACAAATAAATAATTCATATACATTTTGCGCACGGTATTTACAGTTCGCCGCTTTTTTGCGGGTGCGGACGGCCCAAAACCCGCTGCCCCCCCCCCACCACCCCCGCCCAGCCCAAGGGTCCATTCCCGGCTGTGGGGCCGGGGGAGGCGAGGAGGGGGCTCTCCGGAGCCGGGGTGGGGGGGGGGCTCAGGGGAAAGGCAAAGCCCCCCCCAGTCCGGGAAGTCCCCCCCGGGCACCCCCTGCCCGTGTTCCCGGTGCGGGTCGGGGTGGGGGGGGGAACAGCAGAGCCCCCCCCTGCCCCTGGGGGGCCCAAGGGGGCAAAGCGGGGCGGGGGCAGCTCTGGCAGCCCCCAGCCCTGCTCCTTGCATTCTTCGCGTATTAAAAAAGTGGTGGTGGGGGGCGAGGGGGAGGGAGGGAGTCTCCTTTATATATATATATATTTATATTTGTCGCTTGCTCGTGGCCCCAGGGGTGGGCTGGCCCCCTCCGGTCCCCCCCCCCGGACCGGGGTTTGCGGCGGAGGGGGGCGGGGGGGGGGTCCCGGGAGGCCGGGGCTCACCGGGGCTGCGCGGCCCGGGGCAGGACGCCGGGCAGGGGGGGCAGGGGTGGGGGGGGCTCGCTGCCGCCCTGCAGTCCGTGGATGAGGATGCGGGGCACCAGGGGTCTCTGGAGGGCCGGGGGCGGCGCGCTGGGTCCGCGGTACAGGTAGAGGGCAGCGCCGGGGTCCAGGTTGGAGACCAGGCTCTGCGGGTAGAAGTAGGGCGAGGGGAACATCCTCTGCAGGGCTGAGTAGTTGCCGGCCTCGGCCAGCAGCTCCAGGCCCACCGCCGTCTGCCTTTTCCACTTGGTCCTGGGGGGGGACAAGCCGAGACAGGGGGGCGAGGGTGGTGGGGGATGCTCCAAAGGGCGCGCACGGGGTTTTGGTGAGCCCCCCTCCTCCCGGCCCCCTTGCGCAGTCCCGGTGCGCGCTGCTGGACCTCGGGGATGGGCTGGGCTGGGATGAGATGGGATGGGACAGGGCCATCGCCCCCATTAGCGGGGCAGCAGGACTTGGCTCCCCGGTGTCCCCACACAGCCCTGGGTTTGGGTTTTCCCGGCGGCCACTTATTGGGGCCCGACCCTTGGGCACCTTCCGAGCCCCTTCCCGGGCCGGGAGATGCAGGTTGCGAATCCCAAATCCCAAACTCTCACTCGTGGACGCACAGCTCCGCAGGGCAGCCCCCCCCCCCCCAAGCCCGTGCTGGTCCTGAGCCGGGACCCCCCTCCCCGGGCCGGGACTGCCGCGGGGGGCAGCGCTGAGGGGCTTTCGTTTGAGGTTTATGGGGTGGAGGGGGGCTGTGTCTGTATTCCTCTGTATCTATCTCTATTTCCCTGTATCTGTATTTCCCTCTATCCATATTATTCTCTATCTGTATTTCCCTGTATCTATATTCTTCTGTATCTATATTCCTTGGTATCTCTATTTCCTTGTATCTCTATTTCTCTGTATTTGTATTTCTCTCTCTATTTCTCTCTCTCTATATTTCTGTCTATCTCTATTTCTCTGTACCTATATTTCTCCGTGTCTATATTTCTCTATATCTATACTTCTACCTATATTTCTCCGTGTATATATTTTATATCTATTTCTGTGTCTGTATTTGTACCTGTTTGTGTGCACACACACAGAGCCCCCGCCACCCCCAAACCGCCCCGCAGAGCGCTGGCGGAGCGGCCGGGTTTTACAGCCCGGGAACGGGGCTGGAAATCGGGGTGGGGGGCGAGGGTTCAAACCGGGGGGGGAAAAAAGGAGAGGGCCGTGGGGGTGCTGCCATCCGCTGCCCCCGGTCCGCAGGGGGGCAATGGTCGGCTGTGGGCACCCCCGGCTGAATCAATCGAAGCCACCAAACGGCTCCGGCCCTTTTTGCTGTTTTGTCGCTGAAGCGCTAAACCTATTTCCCCCAGTAAATTATTCATCATAATAATAATTGTGTAATTACTGTAAAGGCCGTTAATTATTGATGCCCAACGCAGTAATTGGTATCTATTATTAATGGCCCGATGTGTTATGCTGCTGTGTTTAGCTGGATGCCCGGTGCTCCCCTTGCCTCGCTGGGGCTGGGGAGCACCGATCGTCCCCTGGCCCGGCCCCGTGTCCCCCCCCTGGAATTTGGGATGGGGGAGAAAAGCCCCGGGGGGGGCTGCAGGAAGCTGGGAACGGGGAGAAACGGAGAGGATCGGGGGGGCCCGGAGCGGGGCTGCGGGGACAGGATGGGACCGGGCGCTGCGGGCAGGAGGGTGGGGGGAATTTTTACCTTCTGTTCTGGTACCAGGTTTTCACCTGCGTGTCGGTGAGGTTGAGGGAGGCCGCCAGCTCCATCCTGTCCTGCACGCTCAGGTATTTTTGCCTCTCGAAGCTGCGCTCCAGCTGGGCCAGCTGATGGTCGGTGAAGGCGGTGCGGGCTTTGCGCGGCTTTTTCAGCCGCACCGGGGGGCTGTCCCGGGAGCTGGAGATCTCCCGGTCCCCTTCTTCTTTCACTGGGCCGACAGGGAGGAAGAGAGGCCAGGTCAGGGCAGGCAGGGAAAGGGAAAGGCTCAAAAAGGGGCCGAGCCCCCGCCGCAATAAGCCGGAGGAGAGGGGCACGGGCACCAAATCGGATTCACGGCGTGGTCGCTCCGCACCCCGATGTGGTTTAACTCGGGGGGGGCTCGCAGGGACCCTCGCTCGGACCCGGCCCTTTTCACCCCGACGGCTGCAGGGGGGCAGGATCCGACCCCTGCGCGTCCCCCCTGCTCTTTCCCTGAGCCTCCTGCCTGGCTTTGCACCCCCGACACCCCACAGCTTTCTTGGTGCCCGGGCATTTCGTTTAGTTTAGGGATTTGTTTTTCCCTCTTTTTACTTTCTCCCCCCACCCTCTCTCTCTTTTTTTTTTTTTTTTTTTCCTTGTTTAAACCCAAAACAAAACCAACCCCAAATAAAGACGGGGAGGCCGAGTTTTTTGGAGAGGAAAGCCGCCGGGCTTGGTGCCTCTTCTTCCCCCGTGCGGAAAAGTCTCCGTCCTCCCGGGCTGCTGCCGGGCCGGGACTCAGCCTCCTCTCCCGAGGTTCTCAACGAAATCCTGGGGAAGCGGCCCCGACCGGGCCGGGTTTGGGCTTCAAAGCCGGCGGCGGAGGCTGGGGGCGGCGGTGCGGAGCCTGCCTGCGCCCTCCGTACCCACGCACCGGCGGAGCGACACCGGGATTTACACCGCGAAACATCGGAGGGGTGAAGAGCCGAGAGGAGGAAAAAAAAAAAAAAGAATATATAGGAAAAAAAAAAAAAGAAAAAGAAATTTATATATATTTAAAAAGAAAAATATAGGGAAAAAAAAGAAAATTATAGAAAAAAATGAAAGAAAAGCAACCTAAAACAAACCCAAACAAATCAAAACAAACCAAAACAAAAGCGCCAAAATAAAAAGGAAAAGGAGCCTGGCGGTGCTCGCCTTCCCCACCCTCGTGGAGGAGAGGAGGAGGCAGAAAGGCTCCGGCTCGAGCCATTTTCGGCGCTGGGGCTTTGCGGGCTTTATGCTAAATTTCCCGGGGCCGGGTGTTAGCGGGGCCGGGGCCGCGTTGAACGCGAGCTGATTTCTCTCTGTAGGAAGACAATAATCCGGTTAATTGAGCCACCGGGGAGAGAAACCCTTCAACCGGAAAGCTCCGGCCGAGGAGGCAGAGCCGGGGCCGGGGGGAGGCCGCCAGCACCGGGACGGCTCCGCCCGGGGGGGGCAGCAGCGACCCCGGCCTGGGAGGACGGGGGGTGTCCGGCCGGCCCCGGGAGATGCCCGAAAGTTTTGGGGAGCTTTCTGCTCCCGGGGCAGAGGCAAAGTCAGGTTTCGCAGCCCTGGAAGAAGAAAATTCCCTCCTCCGGCCTCTCTCTTCCCCCCCCCCCGGAGGCTCAGCCTCGGCTCCCCCCAGAGGGGTCCCGGTGGCCGCGGGGCTGCGCTCGGTGCGGCGGCGGCTTCCCCGTCCTGCTCCGCAGCTGTGCCCCGGCCAGTCCTGGCGTAAAACGAGAAAACAAAAACAAAACCAAAACAAAAATATCAAAAATCGATATTGCGGGGTTTCGGCATTTCGGCTCGGGCCGAATCCCGCCGGTTAGGCCCTGCCGCGCAGCCCCCAGGCAGTGTAAATTGGGGGCATTTCGCCCCCAAAAAGGCTCTTCCCAAAGCAGCAAAAAAAGGCGCTGCTGGGCGCGGGGACCCGCTTCTGCCCCCCCGGTACGCGGGGATTTTAAAGCCCGTTTGCGCAGTGATTTTTCCCCCTATTTCAGGCAGTGTTTTTCCCCCTATTTACGCAGTGATTTTTTCCCTCCTTTCAGGCGGTGTTTTTGCCTCCCTTAAGCGGTGTTTTTGCCTCCTCTAAGCAATGTTTTTCCCCTCTTTAAGCAGCGTTTTCCCCCGTTTTAGGAGGAATTTCGGCGCTGGCTGCGGTGCCCTGAACTGAGCTGAGCGCTCCCGCTCCGTCCCTGCCTCCCTTCTCCCAGCTCCGGGCGGTTTTGGGAAGGGGACAAAGGCGAGAGAATTAGGGGAGGATGTTCAGGAACCGAAAATAAAACCCGAAGAGAGGAAGCGCGGCTGTTTTCGATCCCAGCCCTTCCAAACGGCGGAGCCGAGCCCCGCGGTTCTCTCCCCGCATCCTCCCGCAGAGGCCGGGGCCTCCCGCGGGGCGCGGAGGCTTTTTTTGGGGCAGTTTTCCTCCCTCTTCAACCCGTTCAGAGGCTGCTCCGAGAGGTCCTGGGGGGGAGGGAGGGAACGGGGACATTTGCCCTATCCCGTTCCCCAGTTCCTGCCAGCACCCCAAAATCCAGCGGCCCCGCGAGGAGCCACGGCCTCCCCTTTCTCCCCCAGCCTCGGCAGCCTCGCCTCCCCCTGCAAACAGTTTTTTTCCTGGGTGAAAGTTATTATTATATTTTTTTTTCGGGCATGTTGAAAGCGGGATGGACGAAAGCTGCCGGGATAACCTGCTCCGGGCTGGGGGGAGAGCCCCAAACCCCAAACCTCCCGTGCTGCTCCCCTGCCTCCTCCCGGCCCGGCTGCCCGAGGGGAGGCCGGGCAGAGGCTGCGAGGGGCCGGGGAGGCCGAAACCCCGGCCCGGGGCGAGCCGCAGCCCTTTCAGCCCCGTTCCCCGCCGCGGCTTCAGCCCGGGGCTCGAAATAATCCGAAATAATAACCGGGCTAATAACGCTGAGACGAACCCAATCAATTCCCGCCGACTTTTCTCTTTCGTTTGTTACCGGAGCAGGGGAAATACCGGGTAAAATCCGTGTTGATTTTATTATCGTTTCTATATTTTTTTTTCCTTGTGTTTTGCCCAGGCAGAAATCCGCCCCCGGCTCTCGGCTCCGCTTTCCCCGCGGGCAGGCGCGGAGCACCCGGAGCATCCCCCGGGCGTTTTTTTGGAGAAAGCACGAAGCGCCCCGGCCCCTGCCACCGCACCCAGCCCCTCCGACCTTTTCCTCTCCAAAGTTTTCCCGACTTGGTGCCGACCCCGCGCTCATTTCGGGAGCCACCGATGCCGCCACCCCCCCGGCCCCGGGGCGCTCCCGGCGCGTTTTGAGGTTTCGGGGCCAGGCTGCCCTGAAACACCCCCCCCAGGGCCAGCGGCTTTTTCTTACCTTTGTACTCGGAATCCGAGGAGGAGCTGCTGGTGGTTTTTTCCATTTTCTCCCTAAAGTCCTCGCCGGGTTTGGTGGGGATCCTGCCCGCCGGCTCCTGCCCGCCGTGAGGTCCATTGGTACTGGAGTAAGGGGCGCAGGCTGCCAGGGGCTTGCAGTCGGCCAGGATGTCTCTGATGAGGAAGGACGAGGTGACGGTCCGGGATTGGGAGGGAGCCGAGCCCTGGCCGGGCTGCAGATGCGGCCCCGCCGCCTCCAGGCACTCGCGGCCGGGCGAGCGGGGCGAGGGGCACCCGCTGCTGCCCTCCGAGCGGGGGCTCAGCTCCAGCGGGGACCTCCCGTCGCCCCCCAGAGGGTCCCCCTTGGGCCCTGCCGGGCTCCCGGCTCGGTGCGAGAGGATGGAGTCGATCCCGAAGCCGGTGGAGCCCTCCATGGCCCCCGCAGGTGCTGGCGCTCACACGGGCATCGGCGGGGAGGGCGCGGCGGAAGAGGGTTGGTAACGATAATTAACGGTGAGAGCAACAACAACAACAAAAGGGGAAAAAAAAAAAAAAGGAAAAAAAAAAAAAAAGGAAAAAATAAAAAGGTGAAAGGAAAAAAAAAAAAAAAAAAAGAGCAAAGATTCAGCCTGGGATCCGGGCTCTCCGAGGCGCCGCGCGTTACATCCAGGGCTGCTCCGTCTTCAGCATCGCGCCCAGCTGCACTCAGACAGACAGACAGGAGGGGGAGAGGGAGGCAGAGTCAAACTTTGGCCGCCGAGGGGGTGGTGGAGGTGGAGGGGGGGACGGACCCCAACCTCAGCCGGGGGTCCCGGCCCCTGCCCGGCCACCCCAGCGCTGCGCGGAGCCGCGGGGCTGGGGGCAGCCCGGGGGCTGGCAGCCGGAGGAGGGGAGGCAGCGATCGATAGTGAGGCTTCGCAGCGCCCTAAGCGCTTAATGATCCCCAAATCAACTCAGCGGGGAGGGCGAGGGGAGGGCGGAGGGGGTGGGCAGCCGTCGGGCCGCCGCGGCGCCCCCCTTCCCCGCCAGCACCTCGGACAACGCCGGGGGAGGCGACGGTGGCGGCGGGAGGAGGGGGAAAACCGGAGTCAAACCGGAGCCGGCGAGTCAGCACCTCGAACAGCTGCCGGGAGCCGGAGTCACTCCGGAGCCGGCACCGCTTTCAGCACCTCGGACAGCGGCGGGAGCCCCGCGCTTCCCCGAGGGGGGGGGAAATTACAAAATAAAATTAAAAAAAAAAAAAAAGGAGGGGGGGAGAAGAACTTGTGCCACTCCGGCTCGGCTCCCCCCCCCCGCACCCCAGCCGTGTGAACGCGCCCATTGGCCGCCAGGCGTTTTGGGGGATGTCACTCCCCGGCGGCGACACCTTGCAGCTTGATTACCGGGAATTAATTGCCGCCCGCAGCCCCGCGCTTGCCGGGCGGTTTCCGCCCCTCTCTGCTGTCATCATCCCGCTGATGGGGCTCGTAATGGGGTGATTAGCCGCGGGGGGGCGGGGGGGGGGCTGCTGCTCTCTGCTCGCCTCCCCCCCAATTAGCCGATCCGAGTGGGGAAAGTTTTTTGCTGGGCATTGGGAATTAAAAAAAAAAAAAAAAAAAAAGGGAAAGGGAAAGAAAAGGAGAAAAGGCAGAGCACCGGCACCCTCCGCCGAGCCGGCGGCTCCGAGCCCGAGCCGAGCCTCGGGGCTGCGAATTTCGTTGCATCCTCTGGCAATGGGCTGCGGGAGGGGGGGGGGGGCGCAGCGCTTTTTGCAGCGCTCCTTCGGCAAAAAAGCAGGGGGAAAGCACCGGGAAACTGCCCGGGCATCGCCTCCGCGATCTGCTGGGAAGGGACCGAGCTCGGGGGGGGAATTTTCCTACTCTCGATCCCGATTTTTATTTGAAATAACGCCGACCTGCGCGCCCTGCCCGCCGCCGGCCCGTTCCCCCCGCAGCCTCCCTTCCCTTCCCCTCCCTGCCCTTCCCTCCCCTCCCGCCCCGTCGGGGCGTTTCGGTGCCGGGGGAGGGCTCACGCCCGGCTCCCACCTTCCTCCTTGGGGGGCCGGATCCTGCTCCTCCGGGGCTCCCTCGGGGGCTTTTCCTGGGGGCCGAGCCCTCGCCGTGGAGCTGGGGAGAGAAAAAAAAAAATAAAAAAAAATCCCGTCCCCAAACCGTGGGCGTGCGGCCGCGCCGTGCCTGGTTCTTTCTCAAATCCTCGATTTCTTCCTTTTTTTTTTTTCCCCCCTCGCGGGCCAGGCAGCTGCATCTTGTCCCCCTTCCAAAGCCGCCCTCGGCCGGCAGCTTGGAGGCGGTGGGAGCGGGGAGAGCCCCCCCCGGCCGCCCGGCTGCCAGCTGTCGGGCAGCGGCGCAGGCAGGGCCCCAGCACCTCGGCCCCGAAGGGCTCGGGGCTCTCCGGGCTCGGGGCAGGGAACAAAAGGAGCCGCCGGGGGGACAAACCCCGGGACAAAATCAGCCTCGGCCCCTGCCCTTGCTTGCCCCCAGCCTGGAGGCGCAGCGCAGCCGGTGTGGGGGGGGAATGGTGGGGCTGGGGGGGGACGGGGGGGCTGCTCGTCCCTCCCTGTCCTGTCTGCTGGGGGCTCTGGGGGCTGTTTTGGGCTGGTTTTGCAGCATCCGTGTCTCCCGGTGGGGCTGGAGCAGAGCAACAGATGCAGGAACTGGTCCCAGTGGGAAATGGGGCAGGGACCCACTGGGGTCCCAGCTCCGCAGTGGGACTGGGCTGGCTGCCGGGGTCTGGTGCTCCCCCCACCCCATCCGAGCAGCACAGCCCGTATGGGATGGAGAGCGGCTCTGGGATCAGGACCGGCACCGGTTTGGGGCCAGGAATGGGACCGGGATGGAGTTGGGAGTGGGGTTGGATTCAGGATTTGGATGAGCCATGCCCAAGGACCAGGTTGGGCTGATGGCTCTGCTGCTCCGCTTCCTCCCCTTGAACCATGCACCTGCCTTCAAGCAATCACGAGAAATGTTACCGATCAGACTCACTCTGATGCTGTGCAAGGTTTTGGGGCACAGGGAGGGGCCCAATCCTCACCCCAAGCAGACCCTGCGTTGTGCTGTCCCTAGCCAAGGCCCTGGGGACAGGGACTCACTGCAGGGCCACGTGTGGGGTCTCAGCAGCTACAGGGGCACCTGCACCTCTTGTCCCCGTGCTAGTGTGGATGGCATTAATCAATATGATTTCTAAATATTATTTTATATTATTATTAATAATATTTTAATATATTACTTAATATTATTATTTAATATTATTATTAAATCATTTTAGAACTGAACGCCTCAAGGCAGAAGCATGCCCCATTTTACCCATACACAGAGCCCCCCTCTATCAGTTCAAAACTCGTTAATTCCCGTTGTATCTTTGGGTGACTTTGGTCACACAGTTCTGGTGTCTACACTGGGCGCAAGTTTCCTCCCTTGGTCAATCTGAACTCTGCACAAACCCTGGGGTGCGTGAGGATGTGTTGGGCCTCGAAGGGGCAAAACCCCATGCCACACCACACAGCTTCATCCTGCCAGCCCCAATTTAGGAGCAACCCCGTGCACAAGAGCTGGGCTGATGGAGCGATGGGGCAGGCTGCCTCCGTGTCCCACTGGCCGTGTGCCCCAGGTGATGGCTGCTGCTCCCACCCCAAGCCCTTTCCTCCCACCCCAGCTCCTCCAGAGCCGTGTCCATGAGGGCTTCCCAGTTTCTGAGCCGGCTCCATCCTGGAGGAGGGGCTGCGTGTTCCTGGGAGGGAGCAGAGCCCGCAGCGAGAACGGGGTGGGCTCCACGCTGCCCTGCACACATGGCCCCACTGCACCTCGTTCTGTGGGGGGATGTCCCAGGAGGGATGGGGCCTGCTGGCCACGGCGGTGCCTTGGTGCTGTGGGCAGGGAACCAGAAACAGGGCAGGGAACCAGAGGTGTGGTGCTCCACTCGTGTGTTTGCAGGATTCGGCTCTTCCAGCCCCAACAATGTCTCGTTTTGATACAAAACAAACGTAGCTGCCCTTAAACCCATGTCCTAGACCACTTCTGTTCACAAACACATGAAGGCATGGGGGGGAGCTCCCTGATGCTGTGGTCATCTCTGGGGTGCTGGTGCCTTTGGGGTCAGCAGGACACCCCAGCTTGTGGGGCGCTGCTGGCAGTGGGGTGAGGCTCTGCTGGCACCTGACACATCCCTGGGGTTGATTTTGGGGGCTCAGGGTGCAGGCAGAGCCCCGACAGGGCCAGGACCTCCAGGGGTCGGAGGGAAAGGATTGCTGGGCTGCAGCCCTGGCTGTGGCAAGGGTAAGCCTTGAAATATCTGGTAGGGGGCAAAGCAGTACCCAGAGAGGGTCTGGTGGAGGAAGGAAAATGCCTGGGGGCTGTGCTGGGCTCTGTTCCGAATTCCCGTCCCAGCCCAGCCGGGGCGCACGGCGAAGGAGGGCGCAGGGAGGGATGCGCGGCAGCGCCCGGCCCCGGTGGGATGCTGCGGGAAGCGAGTGAGCGTCCCCGGGGAGAGGATAGGGGGGAAAAGGGGGCAGAAAAGGGGAAGACCGGCGGCCTGAGGCTGCGGCGAGCGGGGCCGGGCGGCGGGGAGGCTGCAGCAGCGCTAAAAGCCCGTTACCAGTGGGTGTCACTGCAGGACAAGCAGCGTCCGGACCCGGGGGCGGCGGGGCCGTGCTGGGGCCGAGTCCCGGCGGCCCCGGGATGAGGACAGGGACCGGGATCGGCCCTCACCGAGGCCGCCCAGGCCCGAGGCTGCGAGGTTCGGCCCTCCTGGGGTCCCAGCACCGGGTTTTGGGGCGCTGCGGGGCCGTTCGCCAGCCCCTGTTGCAGTCTGGCTTTGTGGTCTCTGCTGCTTTTTTGGACCTGTCCTGGAGAAGCAGCAGCTCTGCGTGGGCTTGGTTGCAGCGTGCTCGTTTGGCAGCCACGCAAGTGGCAAAAATAAAAAAAAAAACCCAAAGCCCATCTCGCTGCGATGCTCCCTGCCCTGCGCACAGCCCCAGGGACCCGCAGGGCTGCCGCAGGAGGGCTCGGCTGCTGCTGGAGCTGAGCTGGCAGCAAGGGAGACCTCGTGCCTGGGTTGCTCGCCCACTCCTAACCACGGCCATTTTTAGCAGGACGCGGCGTTTAAAGCCCGTCTCTCTCTCCCTGGGGAGGACAGAAAGGTCTCCTGTCATAATCCACTTCTGCCAGCATGGCAAACCCTGCTGTTACCCTCCTAGTTATTTCACACGGGTTTTATTTAGATGCCTGTGCTAAAAAGAGGGAACCACCTAGCAGGGTTTCCCTGTGTGGAGCAGGTGACTTCTGTCCTCCCTCAGCTCAGGTGCAGGCAGGGAGGAGTTTGCTGCAGCTGCTCTCCCTTCAAAAGGGCAGGGTGAGCCTCAAACTGCCCTAAGGAGGGTGCTGGGGATGCCTGAGCAGCTGGTGTGGAGCCCTGTGTGTCCTGGGAAAGGTAAGAAAAGCTGCTCCTGCAGCCTGCTTTGTTCTTGTGTTTCGAGCAACACCATTTAACGTCATGAAGGGCTCTGCTCCTTGAGGTCTGGGTCTGAAAGTTTGGCTGGAGATTGGGTGCGGGGAGAGCCCTGGGCTCAGGAAAGTTTCTGGAGCCTTTTGTGCCCCCCTGGCTGCTGTGGGTCTGTGTAGGAGCATGTAGGAGGCTGGGCTGAGGTGTGCAGGACAAGGTCACGTCCACCTCCTCCTGCAGTGCTTGGTGCTGTGCTTGGGGTGGTCTGGGACAGGGGATCTCACCTTGTGGCATGGCCCTGAGGTGCTCAGCCTGTCCTGGGGTGACCACAGCTGAGCTCTCTGAGTGAGAACAGGGTGCTGAATGCAAATGCTGAAAGCTAATGTTAGACTTAAATGTCTCCTGGTATAATCTGGGACATGATAACAGATGTGAGAAGCATAGGGATAGCTGATTATTCCTCTAGCAATCTTGGAGATGCACAATTGAAGTAATTGTGGTTAATACCAGCTGGTATTTTCTTAAGGTGCACTGACCTTTTGGGAGCAGACCACTTTTAAACACGCTAATACCTGCCTGAACCGTGTGGGGCTGGGCCTCTACCATCACCTGTGGGTGCCCAGGCTGGGGTTTGGGAGCTGTGCTGGTGCTGGGAGGTTTGGGTCTGTTCTGCAGGTACTTGGAGAGGAGCAGCAGCAGCATTCATGTATGAGCATGGGGCTGGCAGAGGCTGCCTTCATGCAGCAAGGCCTCAGTTTGGCAGAGGGCTTAAGGCAGGTTTTGGGATGCCTTCATGCAGGCAGACAAACGCTTTGTGAAATGGACAGTCATGGGCAGCTTGCTTGGCTTGAGAAAGGCTGATGAGAAGGGCGGATGCGTTATGGAGCTATTGTAGACTTGATATTGGTGAGGATACGGTTGAATTTAATGTATAGACCCCTCTG